ATATATATATATATATATATTAATTTGTTGGTGAATAATTTGTTTAAATTAATAAATTAAAATTTTTGACTATTTATTTATAAGTTGAAGTTTAAATGAGTAAAAGTTGAATATAGTTCAACTCATTTTTTTAATATTCACCAACAAACTTATTTGCAGATAAACAAACGAATTATTAGATGTTTTATATTTATATAATATATTATTTAAATAAAAGTTGATCAATTATAATTTATTTAATTATTAAATATAACTTATAGATTATAATTAATATGAATAAAAAATGTTAATATTTATTTATTTTATTTTATTGTAAGAATGACTAACTATAACTCATGCATTATTTTTCTTATTCATCATAAATTTAATTTGATTTCATTTTAAAATTTGTCCAATTATTTATTTATTTAAATTTATAAAATTATTTATAAATAATTTTATATAAAAAATTAAATTATTAATTAGTTTTATATGAAAAAATAGATACAAATTAAATTTTAAATTTTGTTTTATAACATGTGTTTATTTAAATTTTACTTTGTTTAATCAATATGAATTAGTTAAATGTGAGTATGATCATTAAAAATTTTAAGGTCAATATGAATATACATTAGTTCGCATTCAATTAACAATTTATGATTTTTAAAATTATTTTTACTTTAAATGCATTCAAATTCAATTAAAAAAAAATGTTTTTAAGGGAAATCTCTGAGCCCAAATTGGGTTGAATGCACATGGGCGGCCCATTTTTTTGTCTCACCATAATTAATGCTAGAAAAATAATAATTTATGTATTAATTAGGTTACTATTTAGCATGTTTTGTCGTTACTGCAAATTTTATTATTGATTATATATATATATATATATATATATATGTATATACATACCACTCAATTCCTACATATTTACATATCTAACTTCTAAAGTTTTCTTGTTTAGATTTATAACACCCTAATTTTTTATATCATATAAAAATACCATTATTTTAACTTAAAAAAAGTGAAATACATGTCCTCGTGCATAGGGGCGGAACTAACATTTCTTTTGACGAGCCTTGATGCAGTTTTGCATCAGAATTTCAATTAGGATTTGTCACGTGCACATGCAGACCCACTCATATATTAAATTAATTTTTTTTATTAAGGTGGGCATGTTTGTACACGTGACAGACTCTAATTAGAGCCCTGATGTAAAAGTGTATCAGGACTCCTGATGCAATAATTTTCCTGAGAGGAGTAAATTTATTATATTAATAAATTTAGCGTTCGTCACACTTCACCATTTAAATAGCAAAATATACATTTGGGCTGCTTATTGAAATCACGTGATGAACTTCTATCAACAGGAATTAGTATTAATGATTTTATTTATTTTTTTTTATTTTTTATCAAAAATTGATAAGGGTATGCTAATAAAACAGATAAAAAAGAACACAATTTAAATTTATTGTATAATCATGTAATATAATCATTTTATTAGATATTATAACATGAAAATTATTTATTAACATTAAAATTATTTTTTATTTTTAAACCCAATATATTTGATTTATGAATTTATTTAAATACATCTACAACCAAAAAAAAAAAAAACTAAGAGCTGGTGTTTTTTCTTATTTTTATATTATTTAGAATGATTTACGCACATACCATTCAATTTTTATGTATTTACATATTTAACGCCCCTCCGGAAGGCACGAATGTGGCGGTAACAGCACCGGCAACAAATGGTTCGTCCAAAGCGAAGAATGATGTGCCTATAGAAACTCCAGGAGCGGCGGCAAGAGAAGCGTCTGTAGTGCTAGTGGATTAAGGTATCACGTAGCGCACTTTAGTCTAACGCATGTTATCATTACTAAAAAAAATTTATTAAAAGGTCCATAATTATCATGTTATTTTCGGATTTGCTTGGCTATCTTCTGCTTATTTATTGTGAGATTTGTTTTTGAGGATAGCCATATAGTGTATTTTGGATGTCTAATATGTGTGATAGGGATTGTTTTTATATGGGTTGATTATCTTCTGATTAGTTAGTTCATGATGTGTGTGGATGTTTGATTATCTTTCAATGACTCCTATCAAATTTATTCTATCTTTATGAGGTGCATCCACCATGCCAAGTTTCTTGATGATTGATGAAATATTTAACAATCTTCTTAGATTATTAATAAAAACAAGTGCTAATCACTCCATTTTAATTATTAATTGGGTTGGATTAAACTATAAGCAATGTTATTTTAAGCATAAAATTTTATAAGTACCTCTTTTTCAGGCTAAACCATTGAGGGTAAATTCAAGAGTTTGCATGGATTAATATATATATTGCAATAATTTGTTTGTTAAATGGTAAAGAGTTAGGGGTGGAAATTTACTGTGAAGATTTTGAAATTAAATTTTGTTTTGTTTAAATTTGTTCTTTGGCACTCAATCAAAAAAACAAAAAGATCTTGGCCCTGAAACAAATAAAATGAGCACTTCGGAGCTCTGATTTTTTCAAAAAAAACTTCCATTTTCTCATTCAAATCTTATCGTTTGGCCCAAGCTTTCATTTTTCTATGTAGGGCTGTCAAGGGTTCGTTGTTTGTGAATAACTCGTGTTCAGCTTGTTAAGTTAATGAACTTAGCACAAACAAAAATTTATTTGTTCGTGTTTAGCTAGTTTTGGCTCGAAATACTAATCTTATATATATATATATATATATGTATTGCATTTTTTATTATTGCAGTAAAAGACAAAAGATGTTATTAATGCATGCCATTAAATGCTAGTAATAAACATTGAGCCAAATAGATTAGTAGACCGCCTGTTTCATCACGCCAATAGCGTGAAAGTTGAGGTTATAATTAGTGAAATTAACTAACCTATTATTATTATCAAACTACAGATATTAATTATGACATGAGTTTTTTATCAATAAAAATTATGAGATATATTTTCCCACTCCGCTTCGTAAATCTCTTTGCTCCACGTAACAAGCTAAATTAAATAATTAATTAAAAATATATTTAAAATACATTAAAAAAATATTATTATTAAATTATTAACAATTTTTTAAAGTTGATATTTTACATTTTATATCAATTAATTTCCTAATAATAATCTTCTGAAAGCTTATTATATTTTTCATTCATTATAACAATGGTATAGATTTAATTTTCTCTCCCTTTCATATTAAATGAGGCTCTATTGATTAATAAAGCTCAAGCTCGTGATAAAATTAGGGCTGTCAAAAAAACTCGTTGTTCACAAACAGCTCAAGCTCGGCTCGTTGGTTAAGTAAATGAGTCAAACACGAATAAATTTTTAAAGCTCGAATTATAAATGAGCCGAACACTAATAACTTTTTGCTCGCTCGTGCTCGGCTCGTTTTAGTTCGAAATAAAAACTTTCTATAATTTTTTTATATAATAATATATTACATATATTATTTATATAATAATATATTATATTTATTTATATCTAAGTTTAAAACATAACATCCCGTGTGGTAATGTGGTTAGCGGTTTTTTTTTCATACATTTAATCAAAAAGACAAAAGATGTTATTAATGCATGCCATTAAATGCTAGTAATAAACATTGAGCCAAATAGATTAGTAGACCGCCTGTTTCATCACGCCAATAGCGTGAAAGTTGAGGTTATAATTAGTGAAATTAACTAACCTATTATTATTATCAAACTACAGATATTAATTATGACATGAGTTTTTTATCAATAAAAATTATGAGATATATTTTCCCACTCCGCTTCGTAAATCTCTTTGCTCCACGTAACAAGCTAAATTAAATAATTAATTAAAAATATATTTAAAATACATTAAAAAAATATTATTATTAAATTATTAACAATTTTTTAAAGTTGATATTTTACATTTTATATCAATTAATTTCCTAATAATAATCTTCTGAAAGCTTATTATATTTTTCATTCATTATAACAATGGTATAGATTTAATTTTCTCTCCCTTTCATATTAAATGAGGCTCTATTGATTAATAAAGCTCAAGCTCGTGATAAAATTAGGGCTGTCAAAAAAACTCGTTGTTCACAAACAGCTCAAGCTCGGCTCGTTGGTTAAGTAAATGAGTCAAACACGAATAAATTTTTAAAGCTCGAATTATAAATGAGCCGAACACTAATAACTTTTTGCTCGCTCGTGCTCGGCTCGTTTTAGTTCGAAATAAAAACTTTCTATAATTTTTTTATATAATAATATATTACATATATTATTTATATAATAATATATTATATTTATTTATATCTAAGTTTAAAACATAACATCTCGTGTGGTAATGTGGTTAGCGGTTTTTTTTTTCATACATTTGGTCAAGATTCGAATCCAACAGCAAATGTCAAAGAATTGTATGATCTGAATGTAAATTTCAAGAGTGTGCTTGTCCTGTATAGTACTATTGATGCTCGTCTCTGAATTCTATAACTAAATAATGTTATTTATACTTATATAAATAGGTCTCATGTACATTCATCTTAACTTATGTAATTCATATTACCTTAAAAATCACCTCGAGGTTTCTCTATCTTCCTGCATGCTTCTTTAAAAATCATACAAGCTTTCTTCATCATGACCTCCCATTCAAATTCTTCTGTCGATATTGTAGTGTCAACAACTTTTTGTCAAACACAAATAGTATCATCATCGCTCCTCTCGTAGGAGAAGTCAGACATCATATGCATTACCAAAAATATTACATTAGTACTCCGGATGCGTTCTGAGTCCAATGGTCGGGCGTCAGATGTCATGCGGGCCCCACCATTCTTCACACTGACCAATAACAGTGTATTACAGTGGGGCCCGCTTGACACGTGGCACCCCGTCATTGGACACCTAACTCAAACTGCGTTAGGAGTCATGATGTAATATTATCTCATATGCATTAAGATCCTACAACTTCAGCCTCAAGAACTCCAATATTATTTGCCAAATATGCAACAATATTATACATTCTGCCTTCAAATGTTGGCACGAAAATGAAAAAAGTTATCAGCCTAAGTTTTAGCCCAAAATCTAATTTTATTTTAAAAGCCCTAAGCCCACTACATTTATTTTCAAAACCCAAGTCCAAAGCCCACATGACAATTATTTCTTTCCATCATTCATTTGATTAAAATCATTCCTAAAGTTCTAAATCTAAAATCAAATCATTCCCAATCAAGAATCATGCCAAAATCCACCAAAATGTTTTGAAATTCCAAAAATCCCTTCTCCTGAAAGTTGACCAAGCCAAGGACAAACCATGAAGCCACTCCTAAGCCATAGATAAGCCTTAAGAGTTTTTTTTAAGTAACATCACTCAAACATATGTATTTATAAAACTAGCACATGCAGTGCAATTTTTTGAGATATCAAATCCTTGTATTTGCTTTTACAAAGGATCAATTTCAATTTTAGCGCCAATTAAAAATATAGTTGGTTGCTAATTCTATGAAGGGGCATTTACATACTTACCACATAACTTTTATATACTTCTGCTGCCTAAACTTTGATATGCTTAACACCTAAGTTTTTAATATCACATCAAAAGTATCACTATCACCTAGTTTAAAAAGTTAAATATGAATTTTCAAGCATAGATTATAACACGACAGTTTTATAAATGTAAAAATGAAAGTATACGTGTTAGACATGCAAATGTCAAAGAATTGTATGATCTGAATGTAAATTTCAAGAGTGTGCTTGTCCTGTATAGTACTATTGATGCTCGTCTCTCAATTCTATAACTAAATAATGTTATTTATACTTATATAAATAGGTCTCATGTACATTCATCTTAACTTATGTAATTCATATTACCTTAAAAATCACCTCGAGGTTTCTCTATCTTCCTGCATGCTTCTTTAAAAATCATACAAGCTTTCTTCATCATGACCTCCCATTCAAATTCTTCTGTCGATATTGTAGTGTCAACAACTTTTTGTCAAACACAAATAGTATCATCATCGCTCCTCTCGTAGGAGAAGTCAGACAACATATGCATTACCAAAAATATTACATTAATACTCCGGATGCGTTCTGAGTCCAATGGCAGGGTGTCAGATGTCAGGCGGGCCCCACCATTCTTCACACTGGCCAATAACAATGTATTACAGTGGGGCCTAGTTCATAAGCTAACGACTCATAATTTTTGTGCGATTAGTTTCACGACTAATGATTTAATTAATGATATGCAGACCAACATGCTTCTCCTTTACAAGGACTCTATCCAATACAACCACTGAACAACTCTTCAAGCAAATCTGAAGAATTAACTCTAATAACTGTTCAAAAGTGCCAAATCTTTGGCACAATAGGTTAGGACATCCTTCTTCCAAGATTCTGAAGGCTCTAACAAATGGTAAATATTTACGTACGGAGAACGCACGCAGCTCTCTGTGTGTAATACCATACCAATAACCCCTCAATAACCTCTGCAAAGGTTATTGGGAGATTATTGCAGAGTTATTTCGACGTTATTTGGAGTCATACCCTAATACCAAAGAAAATGTGACAGTGTAAACGCGGAGAATACTGATGGTATTAGGGTATGACTTCAAATAACGTCGAAATAACTCTGCAATAACCCCCAATAATCTTCACCGAGGTTATTGAGCAGTTATTGGGAGGGAATTACGCACGGAGAGGTGCGTGCGTTCTCCGTAAGACTTCAAATAACGTCGAAATAACTCTGCAATAACCCTCAATAATCTTCACCGAGGTTATTGAGCAGTTATTGAGAGGGAATTACGCACGGAGAGGTGCGTGCATTCTCCATAAATAAATAGCACTCCAAACAAATTGCATTCCATGTTTACAGCATGAAAATAAAAAATAGTCAATGCACGTCATGTAATCTTTCTAAAAGTCGCAAACTACCTTTCAATACTTCTCTCACACATGTTACTCATCCAATTTAAATTATTCATTCGAAAGTTTGGGAGCTTATCCAACTCTATCCAACTAAGTTTACAAAGATTATGTTATCTGTGTGGATGATTATTCCGGGTTATCTTAGATCCATCTACTTGAACACAAAAAGTGAAACTTTTACCAAATTCATTGAATCCAAAAACCTTTTTGAAATCAATTCAACTCACATAAAAACTATTTGTAAATATGAAGGAGGTGCAACACCCAATTCATCAATTTCTTACAAGAATCTGGCATTAAGCATCATTGCACCCTTCTCTATACACCTAAACAAAATGAGATTGTTAAAAGAAAACACGGACATCTAATAGAAAAAGTTTAAACTCTCTTAAAAGAAGCCTCATTGCCTTTAAATTTGTGGGTTGTACCTTATTAACAGACTGTTGTTTGATTAATAGGCTTCCCACCAAAATACTCAAGTCCAAATCACCATATGAGATGTTATAGAAAACCACCAACCTAGAAGCATCTAAAAGTTTTTGGTTGTCAATGTTTTTCTTTGATAAAATGATATTCCAAGCATGAACTTTTTCCTCTCCAAAAGTCGTGTTTCTTGGATAAGCATCTTCATAAAAAGGCTACAAATGTAATGATATTCAAACCAACAAAATCTATAGATCTAGGCATGTATTATTCAATGAGGTTGTCTATCTATATTAGAAATCTCAAAATCAAGCAAGTCAGTTCACAAATCCCATATCAAACCTACCGCCATTATTATTAGTACCTTCCATAGCTTTGCAACCAGCAAGACCAAACTGCAGCCCCACAATCTCTCACACTGCAGGTTACAACACCTCCATAAATTTAGTACCTACTTCACAAGCCGAACATATTTATATTGAAAAACAGGAACAACTCAATGATCTGCTTAATATATTCCCTCAAAACATCATATGTTGACAAGAACAAAACTGGAACTCTTAAGGCCAGAAAAATTTTCAATCTCGCTCATCAAATTTAAGTAGTCGATCCTACAAGTTACTCCATGATTGCTAATAATGAGAGCGGGAGACAACTCGTGTCTTCAGAATTTCAAGCTTTACAAGCTCAAGGGACATGAGATCTTGTTCCACCTTCAAAACAGCAAAATGTTCCATGCTGAAAATGGAAATTTAATCAAGTACAATGTTGATGGGTTTGTGGCTCGATATAAAGCAAGATTAGTTGCTCAGGGATTTAAACATCACGAAGGCATAGATTACACTGTAGCATTCAGGCCTATAGCAAAAATCTCTACAGTTCAAGTATTTCTAACAATAACTATCACCTACAATTGGAAAATACTTCAATTTGATGTCCCAAATGCATTTCTCCATGGTTGTTCGAATAACTGTATACATGGATCAACCTAAAGATTTCATTGATCAAATACATCAAAACTATGTATGCAAACTCAAGAAAATGATCAATGGCTTAAGCAAACGCCTAAATAATGGTATAACACTCTTACAAGACTTCAAAAACTGAACTTCAGTTTCAACTTTGCAAATCCCACATTATTCTGATATCACAATGACATCACACATATATACATATTAATATATGTGGATTTTATACGTATCTCAATAAATGATCACACAGCCATAGAGCGGGTTGTTCATAGTTTACAAATTAAATTTGAGATGAAGAATTTGGGTACAATATTGAAATTTCTCGGCATCACTGCTACACTTATGGCTTACATTTGAATTAGACATCTTATGCTCAACAAATACTTCACGCTTCTGGAATTACGAATTCCAAGCTTGAAAACAATCCTACAATGAAATGAAAAACTGTTGCAGAAAGAGTTAAAACCACTCTCCAAGATTTCTCATTCTATCAAAAAATCATTGGACCACTATAATACTTATGCTATTAAGACCTGATATAACTTATGTAGTGAATCAAGCAAGTCAATCTATGCATCAGCCAACTCAATATACGTTAATGTCTTCTGAGATATTATCAAGGAACTATGGGAACTACCAATAATCAAAGAAAATTTGACACTCACAATATATGCAGGAGCAAATTGGGTTGGGAATTCTACAAATAGGAAGTCAACTTCTGGTTTCTGTGTATTTTTAGGATCTACACTCATTTCATGGTCTTTAAAAAAGTAACTAGCTATTGTCAGGTTCTCAACTGAGGCTGAGTATAGAACATTAGAGACTGCGAGTGCAGATATATTATGACTTAATAGATTACTAAAATACTTCAAAGTTTCATCAAATGAGCCAACGGCATTGTATTGTGATAATACCCAGCCATGAAACTTGCCAAAAACCTGTTTTTCATGTGAGGACTAAACATCCAAGACTGCCACTACATTCATGAGTGTATAAAAAAACAATTACATCACAGTTCATCATATCAATACCATAAATCAACTAGTTCATCTATTCACAAAACCAACTACAAATTCTTGATTCCAATATCTCATGCGACAAACTCACACTCTCAATTAAAGACTGTCAATTTGAAAGGGGATGTTAAGCCATCACGTCAAGAATAGCATAATTAACTAATCTCAAGTGTATGCCTGTCATATACTGTACAGCTGATGATTGTCTCTCAAGTCTTTAACTAAATTTTTTTACTTATACCTGTATAAATTTATCTAATTCATATTGCCTTAGAGATCAAGAGCTCTGAGGTCCAACAATTTTTAGCATAATGTGGGACGAATTTAAAATGCCTGCCTGATGATCAGTTAAGAGACTGGTTGGTAGCACCCACAGACAGCACCCAAAAAGAAATTATTCTTTTATTTAACATGAGTTTGGTTGAGAGAATTTAGATGAAAATCAAATGCATTCAATCCCATAGTTTTACAATTTTATGAGCATATGATTTAAATATAATTAACAAACAAATAAACATGAACACTACAATAATACATCGAACCACCAAAAATATAAATATAAATACTGACCAATTCCAACAACTAATATCCGCATACATTCATTCATAATTAAATAAATTACTTTAATAATTAAATTTAAAACAATAACAATCAATTTCATTATGGGAACAACCAAGACCAAAACAATAATCATCATATTTATAGTTTAAATATTTTGGGGGAAGTTAAAAAAACTATGATAAAATCAATCAAAATTATCCAAAATTGAAGGCAACAATGTTCCTCTTGAACTCCCACTGCAGAAGTATCAGTGAGCAAATGCAGTTAAGCCCTTAAACTTTCAAGGATTTACCATCTTGAACTGAAATCTAGATAACTGCTGCGGTATGGTGGATATAACTGGGCCATATCTCTGAAAATATGAATATGTTACATTAAAAAATGGACAAATTCAATCAAAATAACTACTATCCATCTAAATATCTTTCTTACAACCTAGAAGCTAAAATAAAAGGAAAATAAATGCACAAATTATAAAAATTTATCAGTAAGTAAAATAATAAGTTTAAATGAGGGTTGACTTTTTTTTTTTCTTTTTTTAGGAGATTTACATTCATACCACATAATTCTTACACATTTATATATACCTAGCACCCAAACTTTAATATTTATTTATATACCACTCAAATCTTTAACACCACATCCAAAATATCATTACAACTAACTATGCAAATAAATTTTCCCATTCTTTTTTTTTTCATGAGATGCTATGCAATTGATAATAAGAGATTGGTTTGATCATTTCTGTTAAATTTCAGTAGGTGAAGTTAAGTGATCAATAAAATGGCCATACTGAATGTTAACCTCAATCATTAGCAATCCATTTTAAGATGAAATAATATAAAATTTGGCAAAACATAATATATTTAAGATTTACATGTGTATACCACTCAAATCTTATGTATTTACATATCTAACACCTAAACTTCAATTTTTACATATGTGCACCATTACCTATGCATGAAAAGCAAATTTTAAAATAGTGGTATTTTTTTATGTGATATGAAAGATTTGGGTGGTATGAATGTAAAAATCAAATTTTAGTTATTAGACATGTAAATACAAAAGAATTGGGTGGAAAAGCAAGCAGCTTCAAGTTTTTCAGTACAACAAAGTATTCCCTAAACATTTTGGAGCAATACTTTTTTTTAAACTTAATGAGCATATGATATGGAACAGCTTGCATTTCTATGCAAAAATTTGAAAATTGTATCGTGCAGCACTGAACGATAAATAAATAATGCATTTACATTCACACTGCATAATTTAAAAAGAAAAATATACCTTTCAATACAAAGGAAAGGTGATATGCATGTAGAAGTTGAAGTTTATAAGTTAGATATGTAAATACATATGTATCGAGTGGTATGTATGAAAGTAAATCTTCAAAATAAAAATGGCGCAGAATGCTAAAAAGGACAACCACTTAAAAAAAACAATAATAATGATAAATAATTACCTGGACATTGTCATAAAGTTCAAACAGTGGAACAGCAAGCAGCTTCAAGTTTTTCGGTACAGCAAAGTATTCCCTCTCCGACAAGTGAACAACGAAAAGTTTCTTGCACTCCTGGAAAGAGACTCACTCCAGGTGAAAGAACGCTTTGCTAACATTACAATGTTTATTTGAATACTTATATGGGACATTTACATAAATACACACAATTCTTATGTATTTACATATCTAACACCTAAGCATTCATATTTACATGCATACCATTCAAATCCTTAACATCACATTAAAATACCATCACTACCTTTTCAAAAAGTGAAATGCATCTTTTCATGTATAGATTTATGACAACAAGGTGATATAATTGAAAATATCAAACTTTGAGTGTTAGATATGTAAATAAATTAGAATTGTGAGATGTGTGTAAATTTCACTATTTAAATCTATATAGATTACAGAATGTACCTTCGGTTTGGTGATATGTGGAGGACAGTATGGGTACATCACAGTTTCAAAATTTGGCCTCCACCAGACTGCAGCACATTCTCCAATCTGAAGCCAACAAGAAAACAAAATCTGAAAAAGGATTCATGTAGCCGACCTCACGAAGTAGGATTAAGGCTTTGTTGTTGTTATTATTGTTGTAATATGAATATAATAATTATATAATCCTTTTAAATATCAACTGTCAAGTGAACATCAGGTATTTCTGTAACAACAGTAGTCTCGAACATCTTAGAGATAAAGATGTGACCTTAGCAAAATATTGGATGGGTACTAAACAAAGATTAATACATAGATATTTAATTCTAGTAATTTTCTCAATTATTGGGTAAAAAACAAACAAGCAAAGTAAATGCACGTGATCAAAGCCATAAACATTTAGAATAATGTATAACATGAGTTTGTAACCATAAAAAAAGTCAAGCATTGTGTATGGGTAAATTCATATTCATCAAGGTCAAATTGATCAAATCATCCAAAAAAAAAAGTGGGTGGAGGGCGGCAGCGGTTGGCATTTGCAGATGGTGACGACGGGGCCGGGAGGCAAGTGGAGGCAGGGTCACGCGGCGGGCTGGCAGTTCTGGGGGCAAATAGCACTTTACATAATGCGGCGTATTTAGAATTCACTCAAATCCAATAAGTTTCAAATACATTGAAATTGAATTAGATGATGAATTCTAAATGCATTGTAATTTTACGCTACATTTGTTCTTCTTTCAAGTGAACATATGGATTTGCAAAACTCCTGCAAAAAAAATGCAATGCACTCATTTCGTCCAACCGAATAACCCCTTAACCTTAATACTAAGCAATTGAAATCACCATCACGCCAAGCTCACAATTTTTCAAATTTATTGTCATAATACTTGACTATTCATCCTGTGTACTTGCTTACCAACAAGGGGCCCTTGCTAGCATAATTTCTTAAGGATAATTGTCCTCTTGCTCAAAACTCGTCTTACATTCACATCTAGTGAGCAACTAAGAGTCAAACTTGCCCGCAACATAAGAGTCCACTCATGTTTTACACTTGTTATCCTTTAGCACATCTCATACTATCGGCTTTGACCCCCACCTATAAAAAATAGACACTAATTAAGTGCAAGCATGACGTAATCAGGTTCTTGAGCCGTTACTTAGCCTATCTAAACATTGAAATCTCCCTATGATTCACTATAACTTTCTCTCGTTCTCCTCCTCTCCATGCTCAATAGTTGTTATCCATGAGGTCTCGATACTTTTCACAAGAAGCAATGGATTCAACATTATGTATTTATAAATTTAAATTAATATAAATTAAATTTGTGCTTGAAGATAAAAATATTACTTTAAAAATAAAATTTAATTTGGATTTTCCAAATTTCAAACTCTAAATAGCAAGGTTTGTTAAGTTGGCCCTTAAAAAATGTATCCTATGATAAAATTAAAACAAACTATTTTTCAAAATGTAAATATTAAAATTTTAAAATATATTTAATCAATAAAAAAAATAATTCAATAAATGTAGAAATATTTTTACAAAATACAGGGCTTGTTTGAGTAAATTAAAATATATCTTATGAAGTCTAAAATAAATAGAATTGTCATGAGAAATAAAATAATGGAAGAATATTTCATCATTTTTTGTTCTCTCTCTCTCTCTCTCTCAAAACTCACTCTAGCTCATCCACTCAATAAACCCCATGCTTGAGTTTGTGAAGAAATGGGGTGATATGCACCGCACATGCAGCACATAGGGTCTATTTGGGACATCTGCAGATTATTAATAAGATGTTGATAAGTAGCTGATCCAGATAAACTGTTGATCAACAACTGATCCAGATAAGTTGTGTAGCTATTTGGTTTGCGTTGTTGGAAAACAGTTGTTTTGTAGCTATTTCTGGATAAATGACAATTTTGCTCCTATACAGCAATGTTGTTTGCAACATAATTGTCATAACAATATATTTGATACTTGATAAGTAAAATATCACTTCAGAATAGTAAAAAAAATAAGGTGCACGCCTCATATAAAAATGAGTATCAACGTACTAAAAAAAGAAAAAATTATTAAAAATACAATTAAAAATATACAACAAACAACAACAACAAAACCTTTATCCCACTAAATCGGGTCGGCTACAAAAATCATTTTTCTCCATTGCGCCCTATTTAGTATCATATTTTCATTTAATTCTAATAAATTAAGATCATTTTTTATACAATATGCCCAAGTCTTCCTAGGTCTAGCTCTGCCTTTCTTAACATAAGTCGAATCTAAAACATCTACTCTTGTAATCATATCATCAAATGGTTGACGTTTAATGTGACTAAACCAACTAAGACGACTCTCTCTAATTTTGTCTGTCACTGGAGCTACACCAATACTATAACAATTAAAAATATAATAATATTAATTTTAAAATTCACTACCAACACAAACCCACAGCCACTACCTCCACCACCCTCCACCCCCAGCACGCAAACTTTCATGTCAAAACATGAATATCATCACTACAGTGATCTATGTTTATACGATAAAAATAACAAAGCAGCAATATCAAACATTACAAAGTGCAATTCAGTTTTAACTTATATAATTTTAACTGAACAAATTAAGCTTCCATCTATTCATGTGTTCATAGCAATTACCAAAAACCGCATCCCATATTGAAATGTATTCCTGTAAATTTACCTATGTAATTTTTTTTTACGTAGGTGAGCAGCTAGAAAACAATGTTGGGTATAAATCAATCACCCAAGTTCATTTTTTTTCAAACAGGGCACCCAAGAAAGCCACAAATCGCAGATCAGAGAAAACCATAAACCAAACAGTCATAGGAGTGCATAACAGAGACCACTGACGAATGGTTTGATGGTCAAACATAAAATCCCATAAAACCATTAGATTGATAATGCCCATATTCTTCAGTTGAAATAAGGAAGCAAATAGAGGGACAAAAGTGAGCGTTAAATTCATACTTTCATTGTGAGAAGCCAAAGTCATCCTCAAAGGATGAAGAAATATACAAAATTGCATACAAAAATCTATAACCAAGAAAGAATTTGCATACAAAAATCTCTAACCAACAAATTGCAAATCAGAGAGCCGAATATCGCATAATACAAACTAATCCATCAGTAGTTACCGCAAGTACTTACAGAGCACAATAACGAGGGATAGGAGAGAAGCGGAAGAGTAGTACAACAACGCCGAGAGAGACGGGTGAGAATGAGAGAAGGGCACGCGAGAGAGATGGCCGAGAGAAGAGGGAGAGCTGGAGTTAGGGAATGTGAGACGCAAAGAAGCGCAAGGGCAGCTGTGTCAAACCAGACAAATGGAATGCGGGCCGTGAGATTCAACCCACGACCACGTTTAACATAAAAAATTCACAGCTTATTCCAATAATCCAATCCAACACTTTTTCCAAACGCTTCGGGCGGCGTTTTCAAAACGCGTCGCACCTATTACACTGCCCCAAATGGGCCCTTAATCATCTGACAATTGCCATTACTTCATTAGCATTGAATGAGTGTGAACAAAAAGACCTCATTGATAATGCATGTATGCTCAACAGTTTAGTCGTAGTCACAATCATGATAGCATGACTACAATACGCGCACCACCAAATACAATGAATTTATCAACTCCACAAACTTTCATGCACGATGACCTTTCCAGATGTATGTTTTCGCATGTGAAGACATGGCCACCACACATGACATCATCACAACACACACCTACCAATAACTACTCAGGGTATCCACAACTTAAACATAGGATATGCAAATATAATTTTATATATACCACATATGTATTTATAGGCACACACTGAGTTCTTCGCACACCCTCCATAGTTTGTCAAGAAGTCACCAAGACATTTGTTATAAACACAATACGGAGGTGCACACAAGGGAACAACAGGAGAATAAAATTCACCTGTAGACTATTCCAATATCCTATGCAACTTTATTGGAGTGATGAACTTTGACTCCACCTTAATTCGATAGACCATCTACAACTGCCCTTATTAGCAAAATTAGGTCAAGCACGCCTGTTGTCCCCCTCACAAGTGTGACATAGAGGAGCCATATAAAATTTTTAGTTAGATTCACACTCCTATGAAATTGTGTTGGCTTTTGCAAGAACTTCACACTAATATACAAGCATATTGGCATGATAGGAAACGACATAGCCTCAGTGCTACGCGTTAATTGTGTATGATTTTCTTAGCATGGTAAGATGGGCAAATAAAATGTGCGCAATACTTGACACAAAAAATCATACTCTTTTCATGATGTGGTGAGATGACCATAAACACTTCCTAGTACTAATTTTGTCAGGGTAACACTGAAGCACTGAGACATTTAATCATGATCGAATATTCACAAAAAATAAAATAAATGAGCATCAAAGACATTAAAAGAATGTGTAATGAGACAATTGAACGGGTAAAAAACCTGAAAGTCAGCCATGCAAACTTTAAAAATTATTCATGGACAAGGAACAGAACTTGAAGCTGGGTTAAGATACGGGTGAGATCAATCAGAGTTCTCCCTACCTCCTCCCAAACTAAAACATACCTTAACATTAGCCATAATTTCACTAAATAAATAAATAATTATCAGACTAAAGGGAGTCTTCCTACGTCTCAAGGAAGAGTATGGAACTGCTACCCTGTCTTAATGGACCACAGCTCAGGTTGAATCACCTTGAAACCATCAAACATTATACGCCTCCATAAAGTACATGAATCTCAAATGCTTAGTAGCACACTTTCTGGGTATCCTTGGACATGCATCAAAAAACATGGTAAAATTAAAGCAACTTAATGAACTCTGTTCTAAAATTATCTCAGCCACTTGACCAATATGCTTAGCCATTCATTTTATCGACAAAAAAAATCAAATATGCCTACTTCTGATATTTTTGTGCAGATGTTAATTAAAATATGTTTTACCTCAAGATTACTTAATTATTATCATGTATTTTGTTATCTCAAGCTACAATTTATCAAGAACCCTAAGTGACACAGTTACAAGATTTTTGAATATTGAAGCTTATTGAA